AGAAGTCATGGTGGCGAATACCTACACTACGTTTATTACAACAACAGGGCATTTACAAGATGTGTACCACTTAAAGAAAAGTAACCACTTTTTGTCGTCTTGCATTCTTCCCAGAATCTCTACTTCGCGGCAGCCAAGTAAAGGTTCAGCTAACTTCGCGAGCTGTTGCCAGAGCAACAAACGCGAAATTTAAAGCGCTGCTAGGCGAAGTCAGCTAGTATAAACCACGACCAAGCCAGTCGTGCAATGAACTCGTTCGAGGTACGCAGTACTCGTTCGAGGTACGCAGTGCTGCGACGACCCCCCCCACACACAACGAATACTAGACGGCCGTCCGCTCCGCTAATTGTTTCGCGTGCTCCTGTTGGTTATGCAAACCGTGAATGTTATATCTTACCCAAAAATGTTCCTTGAGGTTTCGGTATTGTGATGGAGAGCGACGTATATCTTGAGGAAACGGAGGGCTTCTAAAATCGCCCGTAGGCCGGTGCAGAACCCATCGTTCCGCTTCTGCTACCGAAGACATTCGAGGTGCTCGTCTCAGATAGTTTGAGTACCGACGTCTCGCGGGACAGGTCGCCTTTTTTTGTCGGCAGGCGCTCCTTCCGACATCGTAGAAACGCGTAAATGAGGAGCGCATCGCAGGTGGAACAAACGAACCGAGAGCCAACCGAGGCGAGCACCCCACAGGTACAGGAGTTCAGAGCCATTAGGCCTACTGGATAACTGGAATCGCGAGTAGGTTAAATAATTAGGAACGTAAAGTGCGTGCGAAATACACGTTAAAGAAATCATTTTCGTAATTAAAACGATGTAAAAATTGTTTTCGCAATATATGCCTTCTTTTTTTAAAACAATCCCGTAATATGTGTCGAGCGCTGCCATCGAGAGTACGCTTTGCGAGCCGTAAATGAGTTTGGGGAACTCTGTTTACCCGAAATGGCATTTAGGTTAAATGCCATTTGAGTTGCCGTGTGGCAGTGCCTAAATGACATTTACACTGAATGTCATTTGGCGTAAATGCCATTTTAGCTGCCGTCTGACAGGGGTATAAGGTCCGCGGCCGCGTCATTCGGGTAGGATGAATGTTCGTAAATCGCGGAGTCTGCGTTTGTGTATTTGTAAAAATGGCCAATCGCTTGGTGTTTTTTTTTTAAATTCAGTATTTTCCCAAAGACTGGGGCAGGCAATGATTCGGGCATGGACGATGACTCGAGATATTACGTTAATTAGGTAACCTGAGTACAAATCTCTTGTGTATTTCAACGAAAATGCGCCTTTTTTAAAGCAAAAATGACTCCCAACTTTAGATGGAATAGATTAGATTAGATTAGATACGGGCGGGCGGGCGGGCGGGTGGATGGATGGATGGATATCTTTTTTGAGTGGCTGCCAACAGCTGTACGGCCTGGGTAACACTGTCCCGGGGAGTAATAAAGCAAGCAAGTTACAGAAAAACGTCCACTTGAACGAACAATGTATTCTGTGTATGTTGATGACATGCCATGGGGGCAAATGGCTCGCACATCAAAGTGAAAGGTGTCACGGATCTTGGAAGTTCGCCCCGATGGTACACGAAAGTTCAGGGTCCTCAACAACTCTGTGCCGTCAACAGAGCCATGCACAGCTTGGTGCAGAAAAAACATATCTCTTTGAATCCTTCGATCGTGCAGCGACAACCGTTCGAGGTTCACCAGTAGATTATTGTAGCCATAAAAGCCACGGTGGCAGATGCAAATTTAAATATCGCACAATAATTGAACTAACCTACGCTTAACATCTTCAATTAAATTACAGTGTGACACTGCGGCAGAGTTTATACCACCTGCGAGAATTTAAGGCGCACTCTAGCAAGTGTACAGTACAGGCTTAAAAGATATTCGGATTTACAAAATGTTCTCGTAATCTGATAAATGAGGCCCAGATTACGTAGTTCCTGGTTAACAATGCACGAAGCATATATACGAAAATCTAATCCAGAATCTACAAAAAAACCGGTCAGACCACGCACGTGGAGTACTCGCTTTATTTGTTCATAAAAAAAGATTAACAAAGACCGGAGCAGTGTACCTTAAACTTACCACTGATTGCCGTTACAGCTGTTGCATCTCGGAAAGGTTGGAGATGTCGTGCAACCGTAGCTTTCTTAATGTACAATGTAAAATACAAATCTTCTAAAGCAAGAAATTAGTTTTAACGGAATTTTTCTGTTCCATGTGTTCTTCTGTCCTTTCGTCCGCGAATATTCCGCTTAATCTAGCGAGGAAATTTACGCCAAGTAACCCGACGTCATGTACTACACGAATTTAGTATCCGCTCTAAATTTTCTAGGGAAGCTAACGTCGCCTGACCAAAACAGCAAATCGGTTTCCCCGCTAAATTTAGCAGAAATAACACTGTCTCGTGATCTGACGCCACGAGACCTGACCTCAATTCAGTTTCCCATCTAGATTTGTCTGGGAAATTAATGTATCCTGACCTCATGTCTCGTGACCTATACATTATTTAAATTTCCCCGATAAAGTTGGCGGGAAAATTGGACTCACGTGACCGTGTGTCAAGTTTGTGCAGCAGTGAAGTTTCACGGTTAAGTGTAAAGAATGGACATCACGTGACCTATGCACGAGGTCATTTTCTCAAAGGCAGTCTGATAAATCTTGCAGATTTTACACTTCCCAGGAAGCAGTTTTCTGAAATGAACTTTCTGGATTATGAAGTTAATTAACACTTTATTATAACGAAATCTACTCCTGAAAGGCCAATCACGAATTATGCACTTTTCAATCATTCTGCACGTCGGGACGGTAGCTCGTAACTAACATTCCGTGTTTTCTGGTTCTATTTTTTCACTAATATGATTTTTCTCGGTGTCTATCGTAGCAGTCAAGCAGAAAATGGGCATTTATAAGTGCTCATGTTAATGAAACTCGACGCGGTTAGAGAATTCCCCAGCCTTCGGCTGAACAAGCGCCTGAACCGAATAGTTGGCTGCATTAGGAGTCAACAAAAATATGGCTAAGTTTTATCACATGTGTGTCCGTGTTAGCATCGCGCGCAGCTCCCACGCAATGGCACGGGGTTTGAACCCTATCAGTTTAAGTATTTTTGGCGGTTCTTCTCTAACTTTATAGTAGAATCTTGAAACGTATCGGATGGTCCTGTGAAGAATGTAATAGGCTACGAAGTGTGTAAATGAAGTTGTGACTGGCAACATTGGGACAGTTGCCCTTCTGTCGCCGACGCAAGATACGTCGTACTTATCTCCTTAGTGTTATGAGGATATTGGACACCAAGAACTTTGGCGAGGATGCGGCGGGCCTGCGAGGAGCGCGCGCGAGGCCAAGACGCCAAGGCGTGGGGCGAGAGTCGCTTGGCTGAACAGGACAGTTCAGCCAAAACGGCCTAAGCCATCGAACACCGGGCTCGAAGATTAAGGGCGTCTCCAGCATGGCTTGGCCCCTTCACCCGGACAAGAGCTAAGCGAGAATACCACAGTATAAGGGCACATGCTAACCTAATTAAATATTCACTTTTTCTTTTACATCAATTCTACCCTTCTTTTTGTGACAACATTAATTTTTCTTCACATAAAGCTTGGTTTGCTTTTTAATTCTAAAAAAATCATGGATTCTGAGTTTTGGGTGCTTGTTCGATTTTAATCGAACCGGCTTGAGGGTAGTTATTTGGGGTTTATCGATATTTACAAAAAAGAAAAAAAAAGCACATAACCTTACTATTATCATAATGATGGTTTTCTGGTGAAGAGGTCATATACCCTTTATTTTAGTTTCGAAAATCGCTACGATCTTTCCAGGGAGGAGTAAATGTTGACATAAAGGTGTTTCATTCTCACCCTGGTCAGTGTCAAATCGTAAACGCCACTTATAATCTGGCCGTTTCGCGTATCAGGCAAATGTTCTTGGCCTTCTTTACAAACTAACTCTTCAGAGGATATCTGTTTAAACCAAGGAAATGTGAAGATATGCGATCATTGCCCTAGAGAACTGATAGTTTACTGCAAAATTTGTTTTTTCATACTTAAAGCGAACTTGATCTGCTAACGGTAGACTGCGACATTTTAAAAACATTTCCATCGCAGAAAATCTTGTTTGACAAAGTCTAGTTTCTCACGCGTAGATTTATTCATCAGTCCATAACATACGAGCCCTATTCCGAAGACATAAATTACAAGTAAATATCATGCTTGAATATTCAGGATCTCATAATGAATGCTAAAAATGACCAAATGCTTTCCCACATTAAAAAAATAACCAATATGTTTATACCAATGCTTTCACGAGCCCTCTTATACTTCTTTTTGGGTATCTTTGAAGCGACCACTGAGAATTTTTTTCGCTGCGTAAGGTTTGACATAAAGAGATTCTATTCACGTATACTGCGAGTCTCACAATTCGCATAGTTTGTATATCTCCAAGGCTCTTTATACAAATGTAATCTGCTACCGCTCGGATCAGACATTTTAGAAGCGTTTCGACTAGTTGAAAACGTAGCTGGCTGGAATGCATTTTTCACCCTTCACGGTTTCTACCTCAGCATAACACACGAGCACTAATCCGTGTATTTAGATCTTAAAACATGCAGTGCTTAGATATTTCAACTTGTCCAGATGGCTCCTCATAAAATCCTTGACATATTTCATTTTCTGGCACATATGTAGTGACAATTGAACTCTTGGCACGCTGTATAAATGTTGACATTAAACTGTTCCATGCTCACACGAAAGGTCACCCTTCTATGAAAGTCGCAACCTTTATGTCATGATCTGCCCGCGTGCAGTAACGGAGAAGGTTATTTATTTTCTTGTCAGACTATTCCTGCGTTGTGTAAGCTTCCAAATATCTAAAGTAAAACAAAATCTGAAATTGAAAGGGCATGAAAATATATTTAACAGAGGCATCAGTATCTTTCCATCCTCTAGCAGAACTGAAGTTGCCAGCGCTAGTCTCAGAAAAATTAGTCAGGTTTTTAGTCCTAAGAAAATGAGTTTGCTGAAAGTTATTTTCCTATGTATTGCCTTCTATATCAGTCCCCATTCCACCAACTCTTTTCCCGATGCGCCTGAGTACGTAACTTACCAATGCAGAGAAAAAGCTAGAACATTTAAAATATCGAAAGAAATGAGCCTTCCATTGGCGTACGACAGTGCCCAGGTTTGCATGTATCAAGATCTTCAGGTGAGTGTTTGGAGATTATATAAAAAATTAAATTGTATTCTATACCACGGTTTACAGTTTAATACGAAGTAAGACTGTATATTTCCGTATTTTAGCTAAATAAAAATGTCACATCAAATTGTATAACGGATTTATACCATAACTAAAAAAGTGATACACTTCGTACTTGTAAAACTCTAAAACAATAAAGTAAAATAAAAAATTAAAAAGGACAACACAACGACGTCTTGCATCTCGACTCCTGCACGTGCAGCAATTCCCATTGTCGCGTTTAGCGTTTCTCGTTAATTTAAAAGTTCTTTCCGATACGATTAAGCACGCATCAAGATGATACGGATGATTACAGGAAGAACACTTCCCATATATTCCGTCACTCGGCACAGACTTAAAGCACATAATACATTCAAGATCGTTTCCTTCAGCCATAATTAAAAATGTTTACAAAATGTGCGCACACTTACAAAAGCAAAGAACAATTGAGTGGATCCACTTGTTGCAATCGACAGAAAAACATAAAAAGAAAAGCTAGCAAAACACAATAAATAACCCAACATCTCACCTGCGGAAAACGGCTAAGTTAGTCGTCTGTGGAAGACGGGCCGTCGACTGCGCCGACAAGTGCCGTGGGATCCGTTGTTATAGCGTCCAATCCGGTTGCCCGGATGAAGGCATGGCAATCAACCACGGGGCCCTTGCTACGGTCGAAAAGTGCTGCGTCACTGGCTCATCTTCTGTCGGCGGCCGGCAGTGGTGGCGACGTGCCCGGCACCAGGAGGGTCGGAACCGAAGAACTCTCCTCACTGCCGAAAACGGCAAAGTTAGTCGTCCGTAAAAGACAGGACGGGCCGTTGACTGCCAAAAAACAAATAAAAAAGCTAATAATAATAATAATGTTTATTCTCCATCTTTACAATGTGATGGAGGAGGCGAGAAAAAGCAACAATTCGTTTGACGAAGTTCTGACCTCCTTTGCAGCAGGTAGCGACGAGATTAGAAAAGATTTCGCAGTACAAACAAAAAAAAAAATACGCATGCATTCTCATTTTTTACGTAAAATAAGGTAAATAGAATTTAATACGTTCTAAGAAAAAAATAAGCTGACATGTGTTGAAATACAACGCATTAAACAACAATAACAAAAGAGCATGAAGTGACGCAATAATGTTTAGGAATTACGGGCTTGGATGAGAAACTTACGCAGGTCTGAATTGGAGACCTCGGGGAATGTAATGTTTGCTTCAACAAGTTCGTTTAAAACTGTCGGCGATTGATGGTTGACTCTCTGGCTACCGTTATGGGTCGTCACGGGAGGTCTAGACGCTCTAGTGACGTCTAACTCCTGGTTAGCTCAGTTGGTAGAGCGCCCCACTGGAAATGGAGATTTCCATGATTCAATACGAGGACCAGGCGCATGTTTTCATTCGCGCACCAGTCACTTAACTCTGTTTGGACATTTGTGTGTGTTCTTTGTCCCTCTTTTTCTCCTTCGCCAGTGATTATTAGCGATATTCTTGTCCAGCGCGCTGCACTTTTGCATTAATTGTATGAACATAATTTATTTTCTTATTTTCTCTGCATTCTTACATTTCGAATATGCGGGTTTTCCTTCCAGTTTTTTTTTTTCTCCTCCAAATACCAAAATACTTTTACGAGTGAATATTCAAAGAACGAAAGGGGTGAATTTGCTTTCGTCACCTCCAAAACCAAGGCGTCTTTTGTTTATTTTTATTATTTTGTGTACTCGTAGATGTGCGTTGTTTTTTTCTTCATAACCCTGCATCTAAAGTAATGCCTCCCGTGCATAAAGTATTGTGTATGACTTTATGTGCACGGCCAGACTACGAATGGCAACAAATATAAAGCCTTTTTTTATCGCGTAAGACTGGGAATTTTCACCTTATTCAAGTTCTTTGGAGAAAATTGACGTTTAAACATCTTTTTTGTTTTGTGTACGTCAGACGGCAAAGTTCGACCTGTAACATTTTTTTTTTTTTGTGTGTGGGTGCATTTTTGGCGCAAAAATTTATTTATGGAAAATATATACATATTTTTTTGCGCATGTGAGATTGCGATTTTCGACTTGTTTCACTTTTAGTGCTAGGTTTTTCTAGTGTACGTAAGACTGCAAAGTGCGACCTGTATAATTTTTTTGTGCGTGAAAAATATTTTTGTGTGACTTTTGACGTATAGAAAATATTTTTTTTTTGTGCACGTGAGAGCGTCCGAATTTCGACTTGTTTTATTTTTAATGCTAGGTCTGGCCCAACAAGCGTTAGCTGGCTTTGATTGGACCCAATAATACAGTTGGAGATGGCGGCATTTGGAAATAAATTTTTATGATTTTCACTATTATTAATATTGGGTGCTTGTGTCGCGTCATCTAAAATAGTATCATGTTATACATCTTCTGGAGCATGATGCCATGCAAATAATGGCTGGTACGATGAAAATTTAATTTCAGTTAATACATCAAAAACGAAACTACTCTGTTTTAAAAAAAACGACTAAAAAAGGTAAACCTCAATTTGCCAATTGTACTGCACAAAGCGAGCTGCTTAAATTGTGTTAGTTCCCCCCTAGAATATGTTGACAATGCGAAGTATTTAGGAGTGCTTTTTTTATTGGGATATGGCGTAGAATTCGCATTTATTGCACATTTGTAGTAAACTGCGAAGCATTAGCCGCTTACATTATAGTTGCAAAGTGTTTATGCCGCTTTCTGCAAGAAAGCCTGTTGCGTTTGCCCTTGGCTACATTCAGCCTGCTAAGATATGGAATTACTCTGTTCGGTAATTGCGCAGAGTTATGGTAAACAAAAGTTTACCGTATTTCGAGGGGCATGCTAAGAAGCATGGGGTATCACCTTGACCTTTCAACTGACATAGACATATTCGAGCCTTTGCAGATGCCGAATTTCTTTTCCTTGTTTCTGCAAACGGTAGTATTAAGCCATTTTTGGAATAACGACTTTAAATGCACTCTCGTCCCCAGCAGGAATCTCCGTCAGACGTGTCCCGTTTTGTTACCACCCGATGTGTTCCGCGTTATGGAAAAAGACTCCGCTCCCATTATATGCCTTCCATCTTTAAAAAAACAGCCCGATAGTGTCTTCGAAATTGCCACAAGAAGAAAACTGAGAACAATGCTGATCAACTAAAGATTGTAGCCTGTCTTAGTCGCCATGTTTTTATTTTCGCCTATAGTTGTCTTTTTGTGTGTGTGTGTGACTTTATTGGCTTCCCAGCCTCGCCGTTCGGCTGCCGGGTACTGTCCAAGAAGCCTCCTTTGGCTTGGACAGACCAGTATTTGTTGTGTGATATTTCTTACATGTGGAATAAAAGTAATATTATTATTATTATTATATTATTATCACGATCAATATGCATAAAACTAAGCTTGTTTGCTTTCACAACCCACTTAAACTTATAACTACCGATCATCCACTTTACATGCATACATCTCGGTGTACACCCTGCAACCGTTGTCCTGTGTCTTATGTGGATCAAGTTAACTATCTAGGAATAGTAAAACATAAAATAGCGCAACAGAAAGACAAGGACAAGAAGTATACAGGACAGGCGCTGTCCTGTATACTTCTTGTCCTTGTCTTTCTGTTGCGTTATTTTATATGTTTTACTAAAATGAACCAACTAGCCCAACAACGTACCCTACGATCTAGGAATACAATTTGAGAGTGACTTGTCTTAGAAAGCCCATTTTTCACAACTTCGTAGAAAAGTGCGAAAAGTATCCTGTTTGCTGTATAATACCAAATCTCTAATACCCATTTTAACCAAAAAGACAATGACTCGTGCTTTAGCATACAGTGTATTACGCTACGGGATAACTAGTTGTGGTCATGGCCCAGGACTATGGGGCAAAAAAATTGACTCAGTTCTGAAAGGAATATCTAAAAGCATAATATGAGGTGCAGTATCACAAACTGAAGAAGAAATCCTTAACATGCTTGGTTTTAATTTTTTTTATCCTTTTCTTGTACATATGGTCGTTCTAAAATACTTCTGGAGCGATACTTTTAAGATACCTCATGTCCTATATAGACTTCTTCGGCGTGTTGAGCGGTTTGAAGTGCTTTTCGTAGAAACAAACTACGAAAAAAGAGTGCGAAATGTTTACGTTCCATTTATCTTCAACAATTTTCAAGATGATATCTATTATTGAAATATGACAACCAACCAATCTCTAAATCGGGGGCCCAACGTTTCGAAACCGGATCGGCTTCTTCTTCAGGGGCGACTATGGAGGAAAAGAGCCGCAATCTTCTTTTTCGTCTATGACGGAGGCGAATGTGCACGATCCCATCTTCTTCCTCTTTGATCGTTTTTTGAAGGCACATGGTGGAGTCCGTTCACATACACAGGTGGCAGTGCGCCAAGATACCTATTAATGTTTGTTGGCGTGGTCTGAATGTGCCAAGATTCAAGGAAGATCCTCCGGCGAGGGTTATTTTCGATATCCAGGATGCGTGTGTTTAGAAAGTCAATGCGGTGGTCATTTTTTAACAGTGTTCAGCAACCGCGCTGCGCTCTTGATCGAAGTTGCGCACATCAGCCTTGTGTTGACGAATCCGTTCATGATAGTTCTGTGTTTCCCCGATGTACGAGGACGGGCACTCCGCGCAGGGAATCTCGTACATTACACCTTGTGCTTTCTCTTTAGGGGACCGATCTCTTGGTCGTGGCATAAAGCGTCCAAGGGTCGAAATTGGCTTCTGGGCCATCTGAATGCCCTCCTTTGCTAGCACCCGTGCCAGCGCTTCACTTGTTCCCTTTATGTATGGGACGCTGGTGCGCGTGGTTGGCCGGCGTTTCGTATCAACCTGCGACTGGCGGTGTTGTCGACTTCGGTTTTGACGACGGGGAATGCGGTGTATGAAGCTGCCCGTATATCCGTTGTTCTTGAGGTCGCAAATGATGGTTTCTTCTTCTTTTCGTATGTCAAAAGGTCCTTTCTTCCATTGTCGCCCCTGAAGAAGTCGAACCGGTTTCGAAACGTTGGGCCCCTGATTTAGGGATTGGTTGGTCGTCATTATTTAATAATTATTTCCCCAACCAGACAGACGTCTGTCTAATGTTTACTTTTAAGATGATATCTATGCTGTGGACTCTTTAAACAAATTGAAATAATCACTTCAAGGTATTAGGGAGTAGTTGTGACTATATTTCTGTGTGCATATGTTGGAATCACCATCATCACCTACATTGTTCTGCATCTGTAGTTGAGTTTGAGTTTTGAACTTCTTGTTTGTGGGGACTCTTTCAAGCATGAAATGTAGGGTGTTGTCCCACAAGCCGCTTCTGGCTTTGACAGGCCGGTGTATCTGCCTTGTTAAATGCGTGTTCAAATAAAATTATTATTATTATTATTATTATCATTATTGTAAATATTATTTCAATCAGTAAAACTTGTCTGTTTAGGTATTGGCAAATATGACATTACTCGATTTGGCTTTGACAACACCACACACTGGAAGGTCCATTTGCCGGATTCAAGTGCACTGGTTCAATAAAACAGCTAAGCGGGTTAATATGACAATATTTGACACCGATTTGCTTGGAAACTGTGCGTAAGTAGAGAAGTATCTATATGCATTCGCGCGGATGTTATTACCCTATACCTAAAATTGCTGTCTTCAGGTGTCACTTTAAAGACAAGATATCCCGCAGCTCAGGCGCTGCTTTTCAGACAATTTAAAGCTTTCTAGAAAGGTAATGTAAGCTCATAGTAAGAAAATAAAAGTCAAAAGGCAGGCGAGCTGGTGAACAATCATAATTAAGAAGTAAAAACTTGAGACAAGAAAACAAAAGGGGAGATACACGTATACAACCGTCTCAAAACTAGTACAGAATACAGTTGTCATTTACTTCCATAACAGTCCCCTTCTTTCTCATCCTCCATCGAATTATACACATTCAACAGCAGAGCCACTCACTACATTAAGACAGCCTCGAACATACCAAACTGACTCTTCTTCCTTGTCGTCATTTTCTCTTTCTTTCTTATCGTAATTTAATTAATACATGCCCTAACGGCGATACACACAAACCACCGATAAACCTTTAGTATCGAACCCACGTCTAAAGGCAGTTTTGAAATGTCAATTGCTCTGATGAGAAAAACATTTAGAAATTACCAAAATCTCAGCCTACTTGGAATTAAACAAACAAAAGCGCTTTAGTGTTCTTGTCCAAAGTAAAAGCCGTCATGCTCATACGATTTTCGGCTCTCATGATCTTAATTGTATCCTAATCCCCCTTTTAAAAGGATCGTTTTCTTTGGCAAGCACTGTGGTCTGCTTATGGATATGGCTTGTTTGAAGTAATTGGCGGCTATATGAGTTCGGTAATGTACACATGTGAAAGAAAACTACCGTTTCAACATATAAACCTGAATATCAATCACGTCCAGTAATGCAAGAGTTCCTTTAAATCAAAAAGCACGCTTTCATTCAATGGTAATATATATTCTAAAGGCGAATTGACAAGTTATTGTAAGATATTTGTAAACCTCCATAAAAATGAAACTTGTGGTGGTAACCACCACAAGTTTCATTTTTATTCTGTTAAGATTTAAAATATCTGAAGCAAAACGTTTGAGAATGGTGCAGCCGAAAATATAACTAAAAAAAAAAGAAGGGAAACTAACAAAAACTGTGTATGAAGATGCCTTACGTTTTCATTTTTGCTGATATATCTTTTTTCAAGGTAAAACTAGCTCGACTTTACTCGACTTCATTACTGAAACATGTGTAGGTTACATTAATTTATGGTGGAGCAGGTGAACGATGGTTGGTATCAGAACCTTCTAACGAGACAAATCATGCTATAACCATTGGCAGGATTTACCGTATGTGGTCCGCACTCTGGTACTGCATCGACCTTTCATGAGCATTTATTGACAATCCCTGCAGATACATGTTTTGTTTTTAAGCGTAGAAGTTTCTTGCTAACCTTCTTGCCGCAGTGGCAAAATAGAGCAACATTTTTTATTTTATTCTTTTGTGACTTTCGTAGCTGTTTTTTTTCTTTTTTGACGAAATTTTGAATTTGATTTTACCGCTCATCCAAATTTTAGATGGGAAGTCAGTATAAGCTACCAATAAAGTAACGCTGCGTCTAAAGGTACGTCGGAAGTATCCGGAATGCAGAGTCTGAAGGTACGTCGGACGTACCCGGAACGTCTAAAGGTACGTCGGACGTACCTGGAACGAGGGATCTAATGGTATGTCGGGCGTATCCGGAACGAAAGGTCTAAAGGTACGTCGGACGTACCCGGAGATGCGTCGGACGTAGTCGCGATGGGGGAGGGTCGTATCCCAGCGGGTCATAACGTGCCTTACTGAGACCCTACTGGCCATTTTCGCTCCATATTTATTTTTCATTGCTACCGTAACTAGTCCTCTCTAAGCAGTGCATTCTAAGCATTCCATTCTTTTTACACCCGCGATGTTCAAGGGAGGGGGGGGTTATATATTTATTATGGGAAAGTCATAAGATGAATGCCGCAGAAGAAATAAAACGAACCGTGGAGAGAATTAGCCGCTCGCCGTCGATTCGAAGTCGAAGTCGACGAACGCGACCGAGAGAAGACAGCTTTCGTCACGCCCGATGGATTGTACGAGTTCAAGGTGATGCCCTTCGGACTATGCACGACGCCAGCACCTTTCCAGCGTGTCATGGACATAATACTGGCAGGACTGAAGCGCGACAGAGCTGTCTAGTCTACTTTGACGACGTCGTAGTGTTTTCCCGTGACTTCGACGGGTACTTGTGACTTCGAGCTGTTCTCCCAGCCATATGGACCGCCGGACTCACTTCAAGCCGTTAAAGTGTCGGTTCGCCTATGACGAACTAAAGTTGCTAGGACATGTTCGACGAACTAAAGTTCCTAGGACACGTTCGACGAACTAAAGTTCCTAGGAACTAGAGTACCTAGAACAAGGCAGAGAGAAATTACTCCATGAGAAATTACTCCATGCTCTCGTCTGGGCATTCACGAAGTTTTGTCCGTAGTTGTACGGGACCCCGTTCCGCGTAGTCACAAACCACCACTCGCTCTCCCGGCTTGCGAACCTCAAGGACACTTCAGGATGCCTCGCTCAATGGTGTCTCCGACTACAAGAGTTCTACATTGACTGTGGCCTACAAGTGCGGTCGCAGGCACAGCGACGCCGACCGCCTGTTCAAAGCCCGTCCAAACACCTTACGGCAACAGCGACGACGATGACGACGGGTGCTCCCTAGGTGCAGTGATCACTGACGACATGTTACGACGGTACCGAGACGATCCTGAGCTGCGGGCCCTAATAAAGCCCCTGAAGGGCGCGGGAGTATCATGCAACGTATTTTCTCACGAGCCCGGCCGACCTTGGCCATTCGACAAGGTGTGCTCTACAAAAAGAACTTCGGGGTCAACAACTTGCCGTTGGCTGCTGGTAATCCCGACCGACCTTCGAGAGATCTTTCAAGCCTGCCATGACGACCCGACGTCCGGACACCTTCGTTACTGCAGGACACTGGCTCGTATTCGTGGAAAGTATTACTGGCCCGAGCTCCCCAAAACTGTCAACCTATACACACGATCATGCCACGAGTGTCTGCGACGCAAGAAACCTCGGACGAGGCCGACTGGTGTCCTGGAGCCCATTTCTCCGCCAACTGCACCCTTCGAGCAGATCGGAAGGGATCTACTTGTCCTTTTTCGGCCGTCGACGTCGGGAAACCGCTGGATAATCGTCGCCACAGGTTATCTCACGCGGTACGCTGAAACGAAAGTTCTTCCTTCAGTGGCTGTTGTGGAAGTCGCCAAGTTTTTCATCGAGTCCATCGTCCTCCTCACGGCGCTCCCGAAGTTCTCATTACAGACCGTGAATCATCGTTCATGGCTCAGCTGACGCGAGAAATCCTTCGAATCAGTAGCGCCAGCCATCGTCAAACCACTGCGTACCATCCGCCGACAAACGGACTAACAGAAAGGCTAAACAAGACTATCACCGACATGATCTCCATGTATGTCGCGTTAGAGCACAGGATGTGGGACGAGTTGTTACCCTGCGTGACGTTTGCTTACAACATGGTGGCGCAAGAGACCACAGGAGTAGCAGCGCTTCAGCTGCTGCTAGTCGAAAAGTAAGGACCATGCTCGAGGCGATGCTGCCCCACGAACCAGCTGACGATGGGAGCCAAGACGCCCAGGTTGTTGCTCAACGAGCTGAAGAAGTTCGCCAGGTCGCCCGACTCCGTATTAGCAACGTACCGACGCTACCCGGTACAACCTTCGTCGGATCGACGTTCGTTTGAAGCCCCGAGACCGTGCGTGGGTCTGGACCCCTATACGACGACGCGGTTTAAGCAAAAAACTTCTGAAGCGCTACTTCGGACCCTACAAAGTGCTTCCTCAAATCGCGAATCTGATCTATAAGGTGATGACCGACGGAACACGGACTTCATCGCGCCGCCCTCCACGACTGGGAGTCGTCCACGTCGTGCGCCACTACGATTGATAGGACTGTGAACTTCGCTTTTCGTACTGCGCTTGAGAGGACTGTGTTCTACAAGCATCCGTAGTGTGCCATCATTTTGGTTTGTTTTTCTGATTCAGTACCCGTCATGTTGTATCGGGACGATGCTCTTTTTAAAGAGGGGAGTAATGCCACGCGCGTCGCCGAGCGAGCGCGTGGGTGGCCGAATGGTTGCCAAGCTTGACTGTCGCGCGGAAGGTCTAGGTTTTATTCCAGGTAGCGGAATGTTCTTTTATTTATTTTTTCAACTTGGCTTTCTCGTAAGTTCGAGAACATTGCCGTCTAATCGAGTTCCAAATGTTACACGCGCCGAAAGCTCTGGGCTGAATGCTCCAGAAACCCACGCGGGTACATACGGGAGTCCGCATAGCCAGCGAAGTCAGTCACGCCTCAGCGTTTGATCCTGCTGTTTTGCCGCCATCGACGCCTGCGACGCCAGCCTTTGTCTGTTTTGTTTTTGGCACAAGTTCGCCCCTTAGACTTTTAGTTGGCTTCAGTTTTCATTGCCTCATCAATTGTCATTCGCGACAATATTGAACATTAGTTTTCCCGCACTTTTATTCCAGTCCCCGGAACGCTACAGACATTGTGGTGGCTCTTGAAGATGGCAGAACCAAGCAACTTTCAGAATTACGAATTCCACGTAAAATAGGTAATGCACGCGATAAGAAACGTTGACTCACATATTGTTTCCGATAACTTTGACAGCTCATACAGGTGCAAGAGTCGACACAGTTGGCGCAAACACACGTTTAAGACATTTTTCTAGTTTTTTTTGGTAGCTTAATGCCTGCAATAAAAACCAAAAATTCAACACAGTTTTTGTATGCAGAAAGTGTATCAGTAATATTTTGCGTTAAAAACCTCCATTATTATTATGGAAATACGGTATTCAATTGCGCTCGCGCTTTGTCGCGCAGTTCGACAAGTAGAACCTCGTATGCTGCCTGTAAATCCATGTGTGCTTCCTGATCGAAGATAAAAATGCACGAACATATTCTAATTAAAATTTACAGAAAACGTACTGAACTCAAGCGCATAATATAATCCGACAGTTGCATATTGCTTAAAACAATCACTCATATCAATATATCAATTTTATACCTCACGTATACTTTACCTCGGACTAATCTCCAATAAGTTAAGGTTGCCCTAGTCCATTATCTAAGTCGAAACTTAGTGTTTGGTAGGGTGCCTAGAGTATTATCATGTGACTTTTATAAATAAGCAGGTCACTTCTGGCTTAAGGTTAACCAGCAATTTTGTTTTATACTATAGAATAAAAGTACAATAATAATTATATTTTTTTAGGAATGTCTCGAATATACTTTGAAAAGTACAACGCCAGACTTCTTTTTACGGACTACAAGTCATGTTTAATTTTTATTACTGCGTTATATTTTGAAAAGATCAAATGTAAGTAATTAAGGAATGTTTTTTTACTTATCTATAATACGCATCAGGCGAATATGACGGGAACTTGTTTACGTATTAAAGCTGCTAATTGGTCTGGCTTGTTCTGATTCATAACGGACCTATAGGCCAAGAAAACGAGGAAAAGATGAATGACATGCAGGATAGAGCGTGGGTGGCACACAAGACAGGGTCGGCATGTGCTGCGTGGCACCCATCTTCTTGTCCTCGTTCCTTTGGCCCAGATTCCCATTATAGTTTTAGTATTTCTTTTCAAAGGCTTACGGAATACAACCAACTCAATCACGATAATAAGATATTAGTGTATCGCCTTACCAATTTAAAATGTGTACGCACTCACTGACTATATTAATTTGAATAGGCCAAATTTAATGTCCAGTTTCAGGGGCGTTTTTCGCTGCTATAATCACTAATAGTTCAAGATACGAATGGTGTGGCTTGTAATAGTTCACGCTTCCTGCCTTGTGATTTGTTTCTGGACGTTCTTATCGGCCAGTGACGCGATCTCATTGACTAAGAAGTGTTAAGGAGATCCACGGTATTATAGACGGCGTTCGTTTCTGAATATGTCGGTGAATATAGGGGTGTGCGAATATTCGAAATTTAATTTTGATTCGAATAGTAGTTGCTCGGATAATTTGATTTGATTTTTGTATTCGTAGTATTTGAGTGTAGGCATATTTCGACACTTCAAAAATGCTAAACAAAAATTTAGGATTTTTTAAGAACGTTTTCTTCCATGATGACCAGGTCCTTGCATGTTCCGACTAATACAATTCAAGACTGAATAGAGAAAAAAGTGTTGACTGAATAAACATTTCGATCAAAATCCGATCGCAAACCACGCAAAGCAAATTGTTGTGTACATGTTTATAGAGCCGGAAGTTAGTCTGCCTCAGTGGCCGTCTGGTGTTTCAGCTGTGTAAATGAGCCATTTAGCCAGTGCGGTACAACCGCTAACCTGGGGTCTTTAACGTGCACCACGCAGTAGTGATACACGACCGCACGCCGGTACGATGCTCATCCAGATCGAAACGGGCAGAGGCGGGGATTGAACCCAGGATCCCTGGGTTCTGCAGCGCGAGCTTTCGCTCCGCGTGCTCCGAGCTGGTGTGCGCTAGACCACCACGGACGGATGTCACCATCTTTACATAAAGATCGATGAGTCACCTTCTGACACTTATTCTAGCTAAAAACCATTTGTTGAATTGATAATTTGGCAATTAATCACAAAAACACAAATAACAACTATAACCGAACAAGCTTATCCTCCGCTAACCTTTCGCTTCCCGCCGTTTCGAGTGAGGTGCCGTGTCTAGGTGACAGAGGGAGTCGCTGCGATTAAAACAGTTCAATAGTATCTGTCTATTCATCTGTTATGTGAATTGGTGTTAACAATGTTGCGCCTCATGTTTGTCTGTAACAGTGATCATTCACGCCATTTTTGTTCAGGATAGCCTCTTCTCGTTCAGCGTGCTTGAGGTAGATCAGGTACACTTGGTTGAACTCAGTTTAAGCAGTTTCCTCTTAGTTTTGTGTTTTGCATTAAAAATAAATTATCTGGTATTCGATGTTTGATTTGAAGTTCTGCCTTTTGTATGCTATGCGGCACTTCTCCATTCATATTCAATTCAAACTGAACATTCCCTATTCGCACAACCCCTGTGGCTACGAGTTCGGTCTTGGAGCATCCTAAATTATTTCATACAAACAAACGCTACATGCACCGGAAACAAGTCAAACGAGATATATGTCTGGGAATGAAATATTAAATTTTAACGAGGTGCATAAAAAGACAGGCTGAATTAGCTACTGGATTCGTCATCTAACGGATAAGCAGGTTGCACCTTTGGCGATCTACTGACGAACCTTATAGCGAGATCATTTTTATATATCGGCTGACTTAAGGCCGAGTTCATAATTGTGAATGGGGCTTGGGGAACATGCCTTCCAGTTATTCATTTCAACTGATACGTCTGCTTCTCAGTACTTCTCCACACGTCAGGAAGAGCCTCCATCTTTATCCTGCTGTAGCACGATCATCAGTGGCTGTGGCCCTGGAGTATACTTATACGACCGCCTTCAAATATTTTGTTAGGGAGACGACGATGAAGCTTAACCTGAAGGGCAAAGCAGCGCGCACTCTCAGCTGGTGGGTAACAATGTCCTCTTACTCGAGCACCAGGATAATCAATCATCAAACCATATTAAACCATCCATTTTAACACCTTCGGAAGTGGTGGAGGTCAGCACGTTCTCAACCTTTCTACTGATATTTCTATCCTGGAGTTGCGTACCGAGCACACCACCAACACCATGTCGCAATAAGCAAGCACTTCCAACGGGCTACCACCATTTCAGTTCTACTCAATTGCCAGCGGCCGTCAAGAACAGGCAACATGGCCCACCTATTTTTGTTGGTTCATCTGACACCGACGGTCACGCTTGGCTTTAAAAGCTATAACCCTGCAAGTCACCACAACAGATGGGACGCCAGGTTTAAGCTGGAAAATATTGTGTTCTTATTGAAGGACACTGCATTAAAATGTTTGACTACCACGATGATTAAATGAACTCATGGGTCGCTTTACAGCAGCATTTCAAGACACCTTCAGAAGCCTGAACGAGGCCAACAGCAAGCGGAAGATGAGCTTTCTGACAATTTCAAGCCGCCGTTTGCACTTGCTAAATTGAGCAGAGAAGAAGGGAGAGAGAGAAAGCTTTATTGAGCTCAAACGTATAAGCAGGGTAGCTCACTCTAGGCTCTCTATACATATTGAGGACTTATTTGCATCTGCAGTTGAGTGGATGCCTAAATGAACGGAGGAAGACCGTATCCAGCAGCTGTTCAAGGGGTTATACCAGGACCTCTTCCCTATCGTTGCCCCAAAGTAACCCACGACTGTTCATGACCTTATGGGTGAGTGCAAGAAGTACGAAAATCTGCAAAGTGCACGCATCTCAGAGACACATTTGGATCCACAAGTATCGATTGCATGGCATTGATTCAGAACACAATTCTTGAAGAGTGGCGGTTATTTCTTGACCAGTGCCATGCACCTCTTGACATAACGCAAGCGTGTCCTAAGACCCAGAATGTCCAGAAAGTTGTCCTGAACGCAATTCGTGCTGCGCGTAGATCGCTCACACCGTCAACTCCGACATATGCTCCTCCTTCGTCCACTGAAGCTTCTTAGCTCCATGCATCATGACTTTTAGCACTTCTACCCTTGTATTAATCAAACCACCCCTACCTCAGAACCTCAAAGCACTGGCATTAGGAGATCGTTTGAGTAGCGGCCCATCTGTTTCCACGGTTGCCTGCACGGACATAATAAAAAGGGGAAAAAAAACTGCACGATGACGATAACAAATCAAGATAAACGACAGGCCACAACGCTGTGGCTAGTTATCATGAATACATGATATAAACAAAAACAGCGAGAAGACGAATGAAAAGTATAAAGTAACCAACGGGACACAGCACTGCAACGATCCGATCACATCACTCAGCACCACAGCGATCGCCTGAATGCCGAACAGTATCGCCGCTTCCCTCAACCTCACCCACGTTACCGTGCCGATGACTGGCGACAGCCGTTCTATTGACCCCCACCCTTCAGTCCCCTTTTCGCAGCGCAATAAACAAAGAGACGGACCACCCTCTCCTTACCTTCGACGTCAACCCTCTGTGTCACCCATCAAAGCCGACGCCTCCGTGTCAAATCCGACGTCAAAATAAAACCCGCAGTGTGCGTTGCCCCAGTAGGTGACGCTGCAGAACCAATTCGCGATTTAAATTATTCTAAAGATTACCCAACGTCTGCTGTTGTTGAAATTGATAAAAAAAAACTCGAAGGCCTCTTAGACACGGGTGGCGCCAGATAATGTAGTTCTGACAGTTTCCGACGCCGCTTACGTAAAGTGTAGACGCCAGCATGTGAACGGCTTTTACGAATGGTAAATAGTAAGATGATTTGTCCCCTCAGCTACTCAACCCTTTGACCTTTGACTCCAAACGCTACAGTTTCTTTTTAAAATATATATCAACTTTTGTAGCTGACATGATACTGGGGTTGGACTTCCTGTCATCAGCTGATGCGTTCATTGATTGTAAAGAATGTCAGTTGCATCTGAACAGTTCTGATACGAATTGTTGTCCTTCGCACTACAGCCGATGTAGTCATCCCTCCATTGACTGCAGTGGCAGTAACCCTCGTCCTTTACTTGCACTTTTAATGAATTTACGAACTTGTTGAGCAATTTTTTACCACCTTTATGCAAATGGGTTCGCTTGTGCCGTTCTCTGCTCTCGCATTAACTGATAGCCCAGTTCATTTTATAGATTATAAACGACTCCACAGAGCCACTATTACTGCCTCGAGGTGCTGGTATCGCAACAGCCTGGACGTAGAATCATGATAACCTAGCCATTTTGTGTTACGACACGTGACACATCCAGCCGCGACCACTTCCCAAAGCTGTCTTACAAGGCACATGATCGATAACAATTTAATAATAGACCAAAAAGCAAACTCTTTCCAGCATTTTTTTAGCTTATACTGATTTATTTGACTTTGATCGGCCCACACTACCACAGACATCGATAGTGCACCACCAGATTGAAATCAGAAACACAAGTACCTTAATGAATCGGCCATATTGAATTTCACTGGTGGAGCGGAAAGTGATCCGAAGCAATGTCGCTGATTTCATGATAAACAATGTTATTCGGCCTTCATCTAGCCCTTGGTTCTCCAAAGTGATTATTGTAAAGAAAAAAGACAGTTCGCGTCGTTGCTGCCTAGATTAGCGGCCTTAAATATGGAACAAAAAAGTTGTCTACCCGCTCCCTTGCATCGATGACATGCTGGACGCACTCCAAGGGCCCTCCTTTTCTTCCTCTATAGATGTACGTAGCGGATATTGACGAATCCTGGTGGCCGACGGTGATAAACCAAAAACTGTTTTTGTCACTACAGACGATTGATCCTATGATGATAATACGAATAATGCAAAGTTTCGACCGAGTACGGCAAGAGTGACGATAATAATCCCTGGAGAAGAGGAGAAAGTGGGACAAAGCACTATCAGAGAGCTGTGATTGGAGATTTTGTTTCATTTTCCTTTTTTCCCCTTCAAAGAATGATTATCGCGATTTATTCCACTGTAATGTTGTGAATTTTGGCCTCTGCATTCTCTCGCGACCTTCGAGTGAATGATGGACGATTTAATTGGTGATCTGACCAGGAATATCTGCATTTGCTATTCGATGACATCAATGTTTTTCTCAACATTTCCAGACCCTCTAAATCAACTCCCTCTGGTTGTAGACTGGATCCGCCCCGATAATTTGCAGTTCAACTCAAAAAGTTCACTTTTGGAACGAGAGAATTTAGAGTGCTGGGACACCTATTCATCTCAAAAGGCATTCACCCAGACCCAAGCAAACCTCAGAACGTTTCTGAATTCCCTATTGCTAAAAACTCAAAATAATCTAGGCCTTCCTTGGACTTTGCACCAGCTTCCAAAAGTTTTTTTTCTTGTTTTTTGGATGTCATCTAACTAATAAACGAGCTGCTACGAAATAGCGCCGAATTCTAATGGAGATTTCCAGAAGCCACAGCATTTGAATCACTGAAACGTGCCCTTATATCTGTCTCAATTATTGGTCACTTTGCAGAGTACATGCTGACACCGAAATATCAACGGACGCAAGCGGATATGGCATCGGGGCTTTCTTGGCTCAGAATTTATATATTCGTCCACGCGTGATCGCATACGCCAGTCGAACTCTAACGAAGTGTGAGCAAAACCACAGTATCACAACGCGTGGGTATCTAGCGCTTACATGGGCGATATCAATATTCCGACTTTATGCTACCTAATTTAAAAATTGGTATAGACCATCACGCCCGATGCTGGAGAGCCACTTTTAAAGATCAATATGGCAGTCATGGACAACGGTCATTGGAATTTCAAGACTACGGCTTCAACGTTGCATACAAGCCCGGAAAGCGCCCTCTCAATGCGGACGTGCTGTCACAGTGTCCCTTCTCAATCTCCAAGCGACCAGATTGTTTCCATCGCCGTCTTACACCCAATTGGCATCGTAGCAGTCCAAGCGTCCGATCGAAATTTGATGCCACTGAATGAATGATGAGAGGATTCCTATATCTAGCACGCGGCACACAGAGCAGTCGGCTTGTCTCTTCATCCTTTGTGAAAGGTGCCTTCTACGGACGGGACTGTGAGCCACATGTGAAACCATGGCTGCAGATCTTAGACGGCTGTTAGTAGCTCACTAGTACATCCTTTAGGTATGACTGCAAATTAAACTTAGCATTATAATAGACAAAAAAAAAACGCCTTATGCTCAGAACTTCAATCTCCGATTTCTCCCCCAGAAACATCGTGAATATGCTTTCGTACCCATCTTTGTTTCCCTCTTATTGGCGGTAGCCATTTCTTGGACAAAAAGCATGGGATTGGATCTTACTCCTCGTCGAACACTGATACAGCACTCGCTTTTTCTTAATATTTTCTAATTCTTGCACGTGTATCTCTGTTATGTTAGACAGGGAGCAGGGACAAACTGCGTTTTCGTCTGAGAAAGTATTTCTGCTAAAAAAAAAAAACACACAAACTTTTGTAAATAAATAAGTACAGCCGGTGTTCGTCCATTTCCTTACTTCTAAATTTACCAATTTCGAATTTGTGGATTCTAATTCTCCATAAATTAAACTTACTAATCACGTAAAAATGTGATTTCAGATTGCGAACTTTTTGTTGTAAGTGAAAATGTAATTAATATGCATGATACGCAGTGTCACTCAATTTACCGGATATACTGCGGGTATGGACGGCCTAGACGAGGTACGTAATTGTCGCATTGAAGTAATAAAATAAACTACAATTAAATGGTAAGCACCTTTTGAAGCGGTAGCTTTATGGGACCAACCAATTTCAGGAGCCACGTAAGCGAGAATTGAGTAGGTCGGTTAGTCTATTATAGCTACACGGAAAAAAAGGCAACTGGTGCCAGGAAGCTAGCAGATGGTGTGAAAAAGCACGCGGAGCATAGAGAGGGGTATAAAGGGCACGAAAGGGAGGGGCAGAAGCAGGTGGTGTACAAAGAGCGCGCGAAACGAGGAGGAGAGGAAAGGGCAGGGAAGCGCGCTTACCGTCTCTTGGTAACCCGCAAAATTTAGCGCAAAGGTTTGCTTCCGGGCAGTGCCGAAGGGACGCGCGCACGGCGTCGCGAAGGGACAACGCTCTGATGTAATTTGGTTTCATACTAAACCTTGCCCTAGGCACCACCCGAACATAAGAGCCCCACCTACCCCAGAGACTGAAAGAGTGAGGGTCATTCTGCACTTGGCCTCCACCGACCCCATAAAGCTACCGCGTTTCAACGCGTTTGGCAAAATGACAAAACATGTTGCCAATTTTTACTATAGGTCGTTTTTTACAGTCAATGGCAGGGTGAGAACGGCAGGGAGGAGCTTCACTTGGCCGGACTCTAGCGCTAGCTTCCTACCTTCGATAACGCTTCGGTGTCTCGTGATCGTCGAGTCCGTTCCCGACAAAGCACTACACAGACCAATCACGTTGACAGGCAGGGATTCCATGCTGCAGACCAAGCGTTAAAAAAGACGCCCGTTCCTTCTCACCGTGTCAACAGCATCAATTTGTGACATGGTAATTTTCTTTCTGTGAATATTTTAACTTCTAATTTAGTCTGTTATAAGAGAGATTTTAGTAGATCACACCGGTCCGTCCGCATGGACCGTATCGTTTTTGGGTATCGTCATTGGAAGTATCGGAGTCATCTACTAAAATCTCTCTTATAACAGACTAAATTAGAAGTTAAAATATTCACAGAAAGAAAATTACCATGTCACAAATTTCTCTGCATGAATGCATATAAAGGCAAATCATTACATATCTTAGGAGCAGCACAACATATTCCCTTCATCGCGTGCTAAGATGGTTTCCATAAATTTGTGTCGTTGAACAGGAAGAAAATAGAGTCATTTTTGGTACGAAGATTAATCTTCCACTTCGTTAATGTAATGTAAAGTTGTATTGAGGCAAGGTCGTCATTCTACTATGCGTTGAACTATTTCCGCGAGTACGTATATTCAGCATGATATTAAATATAGGCAGAAATTGTTTAACAATACTTCACCGGTGGGTTCCAAAAAGCGCAGCTATAGTACTGGCTTTGGAATTTATTGAAACTGTGCGATAATGTACATAACGATGGTATAAGGGCATAAATAAAGAAGCCCATACGGCGGCGCTATGCAAAATATAAGCCAGCCTCATCAGAACCCAACTTCAGGAATGTTATGTGCGAGATTTTGTTGCGAATACGTTAATAAAATATTGCTTAAATTTGTATTTACTTGTAGGGATCGTTGCTCCTCCACAAAACACAAGTGAAAAAATAAAATGTTTTAGTGTTTCCCTCAACACACAATAGTAAAAATATTAAGCTTAAGATTAGTTAGTAATTAGCAAATCGCCTCACATGCGGCAGAACATTGGCCGACACACATACTTCGATATCCGAACTTGCGATACTGTCATGCAGGGAACATATACGAGAAACGGGCAAACTTTTACATTCTCAACGAATATAAAACACAAAATATAGGGCAGAACAGAAATTGATAGCACGATTAACTTTGCAAAGGAACCAAGCTGGGTCAGTATTACAATCCTTAAACATACGTAAAAACATTTTTTTTCCAATGATGTTAAGGAACTTGGCTCAGCTGCTCAGCAGATATATAAATACCCCATTATTCTTATATAGTTGGGAACAAAAAAATAATTGAATTTTATTGTTTCCTTAACTAGATGTATGGCCGAAGCCCGCAAGCTCTTCAAGTGATGAATCATTTTTACAGCAAGTGCATACACTTCGGCTGTTGATTGAACGCACATATCCTCTAAAAGAGGACACGCTCTTCATGAATGAATTTCAAATGATCCCAGAGGTAATCATCTTTTTTCGTCGAACTATTTCAGGTGGATGACTTGTTACAGGGCAAGTTTACTTAAAATCGTGCTAGAAAATAAAACGTGAAATCTCAAATACTTAATATATATATATATATATATATATATATATATATATATATATATATATATATATATATATATATATATATATATATATATATACATAACTGAGAAGAAAAAAACCCTTAGTGAAAACAGCAACAACGGACGATTTAATCTTCGACGTTTCGGCCGGAGTCCGGCTTTCGTCAGGAAGAACTTTTACAGATGAACGCGGGTGGTATTTATACAATGCTACGGTCGAGTCCAAATTTCGGAGGGGTATATATATATATATATATATATATATATATATATATATATATATATATATATGCTGGGCCAATTCTTCGCAAGGACAAAGAAAAAGTCGTTTTTGTGTTATATCTTTATTTTATGAGTTCTTGACTTCTAAGAAACAAGCCGGATTTTGAGATTAAGGGAATAGTCACAGGTCGAGCAGATGGGAACTTAGCAAAACTCATAGCCAACTTCAGCACAAACAAAAAATATTTACACGTTTTTTTAATACATATATGTATTAAAAAAACGTGTAAATATTTTTTATGGCTATTTACTATAGTAAATAGCCACATCTTTCTAAAATGGTTCTTTTGTTCTTATCTATTTTTATAAATCATCCAGGACTTGGCTTTTTTGACGGTAATTTACTTGGCTTGAATACTTTGGTTTTTTATAGCCTAAATTATATATGAAATGAAAGCTTAATCCTTCCTATTCAACATAGCAAAAAAAGGTTATTTTAGCGAAAAACTTTTTCGAACACAAAATGCAACTTTAAAGGTAAAAAGAGTACTTCTCTTTTTCTTTTTTTCTTTGTATGAAGAGTCCTTTGAATGATCTATAACAAGGGTCTCCAAACCCCGGCCGGCGGGCGAGATCCGTCCTGCAGTGTCATTCCGACCGGCCCCCGGCCCGCTGGTCCGTCTTTGGTCATTTCGTCGTAATCTCGGGAAACAAAAATATGACAAAAAAATGGATTCCGACGTCTCAATAATAACGAATTCTCTCAGCAGTTACATATTTTCATACGCTTTTGAGGCGTTACCTTTTCTTTTCTGCATAAGCTAAAATGAAACCACCCAGACGAATATAAAACTGATAATAAACATTTAATAAGGCGAACTCGTACATTTAACAGAAAACAAAAGCGCACCGAGCATTCAGCGTTGGTGGCGGAAGGAGACTGACCCGAAGTAGCGTCTTAACGTGGTTTTTAAACACGCGTTATATTCTGGAATGTTCAGAAAAAGAACACTCAATGACAGCCGAGAGTAGGCTGAGACTTTCAAGAAGAGAACAGAATTAGAAAGGAAGGATACAGGTCGAGGGGATATCGAACCCCGTTTCTCCGCCTGGCAGCTGCTTGTGTTGTGAACTTCGCCACGCACGTGACAGTATGATGTAATCCAATGAATAAACCATCAAAATATATTACCAATGTATAGCGAACGTCCGATTCCACCGCGGATTGAAAACGTTAAAAAAAATCATAAAGAAGTATTAGGTGGACTTTTTTTTGTTTTCGTTAAATAATGTCCTGTATTTCAACATGAAAAATGCCAAATCCAATCAATATTGATTCAAGATATTTGTTAAGATGTCATTTAAAACGTCTGGTGGGGTGCATTATTCAATATTTCAGGTTTTGTACCACATCCCAGGTGCAAACACATACGCCTCAACATACGAAAGAACAGACCCAAGACTGTGTGGAATAAGAACTTTCAAGATCATGCCTGATATGGCAGAGTTGGAGCTGGAAATGATGCGCGAGGGCCGAAAGTAAGTATCCATACAGTTTGCTTTATAATAAGCTGCCACTTAAGACCTCCTACACTCTGTAAAACAATGTTGTTGTTTTTGCGACGAAGCACGAGAATAATCGATCCAGACTCACTTCATGAATATTTCGATGCAATGTAGGAAATGGTCTCACAATAGAATCAAATTGGAAATCAAATCTAGAAGACCAGCTCGGAGGAAGTCCCGATATCGACTCCTGGAGTATCATTGTTTGTTTCGTTAGCCGCAACCACTCGTTGAAGCTTTTATTTAAATCAAACTATTTTTGGCTCATGTCTGAACATAAAACAATTCGTAATGTGGATTTTTTGCTCATTTTTCAATATCAAAATATGTGATTTAGGACAGCTTAGTTCTTAAGAAATTCAAAACGCAGCTGAGGGATAAGAAAACAAAATTACCCCCAAACATTCTAGTTTTATTTATATTCAGCTTGATTCGAAGCTCAATACGAACGCGATTTTAAAATGGAAGGGCTTAGATAACTATATTTTCAGGTACCCTGTAAGTCGAAACACAATCAACGTCTAAACATACTTGCACACCTATTAGGCATAATCACTCGGTGACCATTGCTTAAGTAATCAATCGGCTAAATTAATTAAATTGTCCCAATACTGAGAAATGACCCCTATAAAATCATTATATGAATTTTGGAACAATTTATGGGACACCACTTGCCTTGGGGAGTCAATAATTATATTTATCAACGAATACATTTATTTTATTGATTCGGCATACATTCGTGTATTTACATTTCAGGAATGTTGGCAAAAATAAAGTTACGTAGACCTATTTATTTATTTTCCTTATAATAAAGGAAACTTTAGGTAAAGCAGTGGAGGTAGTCTACTGATCTCTCGTTCTCCACATAGGCAGGCAGTTGTAACGTGAAAACGGGAAGTAAAAGCCATAGGAAGACGTTTTTCCTAGTAGGAAGCTATGCAGCTAGCATACCAAAGCTTGTAAACGAGTTTACTCGAACTGTTTGACTGCATGTTGGCAGTGAGGCACAGATAGTACTGGGATCACATTTTTAATGTCGGGTTCAACAAACGACAACGGCAATGTCCGTGGAAACCCCCTATATATTTCACCTTTGGCCAATTCATAACTTTAAAATTTAGACGGCAGTTAATGCATTAGTTGACTTATGGCAGCTTTATGAATTAAATTTACCCCCCCCCCCCTTTTTCAAAGGCTTCCATATCAGTACCAAACTACCATTTATTTGTGATACTTGTAGCAAGATACGATATTGATTAAATGACAACAATACTACTTAGGTATCCATGTCCTGCTATGCGCGTTTCCACTGTTTACAAAAATCACAGTCCACATGTGCTAAATCAGAATCCAGCCAGCGCTTTCTCGCAATAAAAAGTATTCACTAGGAGCCATACTTTTTTTTTTTGTGCAACAAGCAAAGCTTGAGAGTTTAGATTAGGTGCGCTATGTGTGCATCCCGTATAAAGCCCAAAAGGGCTCCGGCATGCGCGTTCACTCTGGTCCATTTGTAGTAGTCCTCAGGGGATGCTAGGTTGAGGTCTCGTGCCTGAGTCAGGGGAAGGAGGCGGTGCTGAAGATTTGGGCAATTCCAGAGAATGTGTCGGAGTCCAACTGCGGACGCCCTGGCAGAGCAGTAGGGGCACGCCGGGCTGGCATCATCGGGGCCTCGGCCCCAGGAGGCCAAGACTGCTGGGGTGACTGCGGAGTCCGTCCGGATCATTGCGAGGAGGACCTCCTCCCGCCGGGGCAGGCCCGCCGGGAGAGGATGTGGGCACGCGGGAATGAGTGCACGCGTAGCGACCCTTATGCGGGCCTTGCCCACGACGAGTGAGGCCTCCGGCTCATCCGGAATGGGGGTGGGATCAGGGGGGGGATGTTCAATCAAGGCTCGAGCGATTTGGTGGGCTTTGTCCTGGTGAGTACCGTGCTGGTGCCCAGGGGTCCAGAGAATCCGGACTTCTTTAGCAGATGTACGATTTAGGGCATGAATCTCATGGCAAATATGTAGTAAAGATCGCGTTGACTTGAGATGTCGGATGGCAGAGGCACAATCCGTGTGAACGCGTACTCGAGTGACATCGGGCATCCGCGTTAGTGCTTGTATGGCGTCTCGAATCGCGTATAACTCGGCGATAAGCGGATCGTCCAACTGTGTGGCGTAGAACGCCGATGTATCAATGGAAGGATGAGATGGACAATGCACTGCGGTAGCGATGCCATGTTGGCACGTTGCTCCGTCGGTGTAGACATCTATCGCGAACTCATCCGAGCTCGGGGCCGCGACCTGCTCTACTCGTGGTGGCGCGGAGCCGGACGGATGCGTGCGGACGGTAGCAGGCTTGTTGGTAGTAATTGTAGTGTAGTACCATGGTGGCGGTGGAGCCCCAACGTACGGAGAGCAGCGGGGAGGTTCCTCGTGCAAAGGAGTGATGGTATGTTTCAGATTGCGAGCTTCTCTTCGTTGATTGACAAGTTGTTCAATAGTGTTCAGTTGCGCATACTCGTACAGGTGCCAGGTAGGAGTATGCCGAGGGAGACCAGTCATGCCGCGAATTGCATCCCTATTGATGATTTCAATACTCTTCCACTGAGATGCAGTGAGACGCTGGAACTGAGCTTGGTAGATCAATCGAGGTTGAAGGACGCATTTAACCAGACGTTGGGCTACCTCAGTCCCCGCTCCGCCACATCGTTTCGAGATGCGTCGGATGAGGTGTGTTGTAGACGCCGCTGTCTTGCGTGCCGCTTGAAGCCACTGCTTGGCTGAGCCAGACTGGTGGATGAGGAGTCCCAAGATCTTGGCTTGTGTAACCATCGGAAGCTGTGTCGACCCTATTCTGAGGGGCATGGGAGTCAATGGCAGTTTCTTCCGGGCAGCGTTGTTGCACACATGAAGGAATTGCGACTTCTCGGGAGACACCGTCAGGCCAAAAGTCTTTGTATGGCAGTCTAGTTTATTCAGCCCGGCCTGTAAGGCATTTTGTTGCACCTCTAGGGATGGGTGAACTGACCACATTGTGACATCATCAGCGTAGATTAAAAAACGAAGGTGTTGTATATCAGCGAGAGCCCAGGCCAGGGGAAGGAATGCAATGTTAAATAGGAGTGGTGCAAGTACTGAGCCTTGGGGCACGCCACAGTTCGAGAGGAAATTGGACGACTCGCCATATGATAGACGGACGGCGAAAGTTCTGTCGGTAATGAAGGCGTGGACAGCATTTATGACACGAGGTGGGAGGCCGAGGACCACCATTGCCTCCAACAGTGGGGCGTGAGCGATATTGTCATAGGCCTTTGATATGTCAGTAGCTACAAGTGTGCGAACCAAGTGGCTATAGGGTGACAGATGTAGGACTTCCTTTGCAAGGCGGTCGAGGCCATCTTCCGTTCCGAGATGTTGCCGGAATCCAATTTGGTTGGGGTGATAGAGACAGTGGGCCTCCAGCCACCAAGAGATACGTTTAGCCATCATACGCTCATAGATTTTGCAGATGGTGGGAGTCAGTGATATAGGCCGCAGAGCTGTAAGCCCGGTCGGTGCCTTGCCCGGTTTGGGAATCGGCACTACAATCGAGTGTTTCCATGATGTGGGGAGCTCGCCGGCTTCCCAGATCTTATTGATGATAGCTAGCAAATCTGTGACTGCCTCTCCCTCGAGGTTCTTGTACACTTCGTACGGGAGACCGTCATGTCCTGGAGCAGAGCGGCGACTAGCACTCTCGATGGCGTCTTGGAGCTCAGCCAGAGTGAAGGGCGTAGTGATGCCAGTAGTGTCAGGCATAGCCGTGACAGGGCGCGGGACCGACGGGCTGGCATGTCGAGGGAAAAAGGTATCCGCCGCGCGCGCCGCAAACTCATCGTCGGTGAGCCCCAGACGCAACTGAATGTTGCCAGTCCGGCCTTCAGCTTGGCGAGGTCGTTCTATAGCGTGAAAAGTCCGCCAAAGAGCCTCAGGGTGCTTCGGGTTACTCAACGAGGCACACCAGTCAAGCCAGCGTTGGCGTGTAAGTCGTTTCTCGTGGCGGCGTGCCTTAGCTGCCACGTGGGAAGCCTCATCCTGAAGTTGGTGGTCGTCGGAGTGTAAGGCTGCCAATGTGACCGCTTCAAGTCGCTGTTGCCACAGGCGGAGGAGGTGGGGATCAGGTGTTGGTTGATCACAGTGGACCGTGGTAGTCGTGGTGCAGTCTATCATGGCTTCTTTGATGTCTCTCTGAACTGTTTCTGGGTTCTGCGCCATGATGTTAAGAGATGATCGAAGTTTATCCCAATCGGTAACCTGAACTTGCTTCCGGAGGCGGTTATATGCCGTTGTGAACCATTTGATAATGATCGGAAAATGGTCACTTCCCCAAGTGTCCTCTTCAGTCCTCCATGCCGGATTGCCAGACCCACGCCACCAGGTGAGGTCCGGAGCGTTGGACGGGTTCCCTAGGCGAGTGGGACCCGGCAAGTTGAGAAGATGGAATCCTCGATCGGTGAAGCGATCGTATACTTGACGGCCTCGGGGGGAATCCTGCTTGTACCCCCACTTCGTGTTGGGGGCATTGAAGTCGCCACCCACGATAATAGGTATGTTGGGATGGAGCGAGAGAATGTGTTCAAGCCACCCGAGATTATGACGGACGTTTCCAGGTTTTCCGTAAAAAGAGACTGTCACAACACAATTGTAGCGTGTCCGGACGAGGACAGCCACTACCTCCTGGCGGGAGGTGCACCATTTTGATAGGTCTATTGGGGCGTGCTGAAGATGATCTTTGATATAGATAGCCGCTTTGCCGGGCCTAGAGGGCTCGGAGTCGGAGGTCGTTAAATGCCGGGCATCAGTAATGGACGGTGAATGGTAGCCGCAGTACGTGGGGATACGAATGAGTTCCAAATGTTCTTGTACAAGGATGAGCCATGGATTGAGCAGACGATACAATATTCTAGTGCGTAGTTCCCCAAACGTTTGACGGCTACTACGACAATTC